GGCCCTCGTTCCCTGTCCTGTAAAATCATGAAACAAAGACTTTAACATTTAACCTGTCCATCTCTGTCTCAGGTACACACTTTTTCAGCAAAGTTCTCTTTTCTTTCTGGATGACAAGTTCAAAAAGAAAGCGGTAGTATTATCAAGCAACTGCCAAACTAGTGAACTATCAATCATGTTAACAAATATGAGTGAGGGATATATGTTCTTGCAGCCTCTTTACTGATCAAAAATAAGAGCTAGATGGGTTGTAAAATATACAAGAAGCAAGACTTGGGAAACCATAAGAACACATTCTCCCACATCTGAAACATATTTATTCTGATTATCAAAGGAACCACCTACCTTATTTGGGACAGCTAGAGGGACATAACTGAACTGCAAATGAAAAAAAATAGTACTACATGCTCTTCAGGTATAACAGGACAGAATTTTCACCACTAGAGGAGTACAGTCAAGAACTCAGAATATACAAATTCTGTGAAGTCTAAAGAGCCAAAGGTTCAAAATGGTGCTGAAAGGTCAAAGTAAGGAATGACTAGAAACTAACTGCACACAGAACCAACAAAACCAAAACAGACTCCAAAATCACAATGAACTCCCACACTGAAGTCAGACCACTTCAGAGCAACATTACAGCATCAAGTTTAATCTCAGCTTCAAAACAGCTTGTTTGAAAGAGATGCCTTTTAAGTCTAAAAAGGAATCTGTTCTGTGTAACAATTTGAAAAAAAACAATCCCCCAAAACAAGGCCAAACAAAAAAATGCAGTTTCAGCTTGGCTCCACGTGCATCGAACATAATTCCCTCCTCACACACATGTTCACCCCTTTATGCTGTTACTAGAAGATTTTGTAGGGCTAGCAATGCCTGTCCCAGTTGCAAAACAAAACCTGCTCCCTAAATACTTCAACTGCTCTGAGAAACAGACCTTTCCATCAGTTTCACAGCCCTCAGTGGGACCAGGAAATCAAGGAGAGCAGCAACTCCACTGCCCAGACCTGGGACCTGCCAGACCCTGCCTCCTAGAAGGACAGGGCTCCACCACACTGCCCAGTCCACGTCCCCAACCAGCCGGCTCACCTCAAAGCCCGAAGATGATGACCCACCAGAAGAACAGGCCAAAACCATAAAATTTAAGACTGGCACAGAATTTTGATCAACCTGGGATTTCAGGAAAAAATACTTTCATTAAAACCATAAGAAGGAGTTTTCCCTCCAAGTACAGTGGCTTTACTCATGGCTCACCATCAGCATCGAAACACTCAGCACTGAAGTGCCAAGCTCACGGGGGGAAGGGAGAGAAAATAAGAAATACTCAGCCGTAACTTTTTTTTAACCTGAAAGAGCTACACAATCATCTACTAAATGCAACGGACATGTGAGTCTGTTTTCTCCATACTGTGGATATAACGCCACTACTGCTTTTCTTGCAATTATTTTTCTGAAATTATCTAGATCGAAAGTGTCCAATAACCTGTTCAGAACTCAGTACTAGCAGTAAGGTTGAAAACATTACTTTCATAATGATGCCTGAGAAAATCAGTATACCTTTATTCATGCAGAGAAAAGCAATTTAAAATACAGGAAGAACGGTAGAATAAAGTATCTTTCTTTCACCATTTCTTCCTTCCAAAAACTTAGTCTGCATGGGGGGGTGGGGGAGTGCATGTATGTTTTGTTCCTGAAGAGGAAAGGGAAGAGACATAGTATCTTTCAACTGCTAAGAAGCCAAAAGTTGGCTTCATAATTACAGCCAACAGAACTGGATTCCTCAGCAAGGAATCGTTTGAGTATTTTACTGTTTCACTGCTATCTTTGATAAGGTGGTGTCTAAACATATTCACAACACTGGTAGAAACAAAAGCTTCCTCCACATAGACTTGGCTCTGAAGTGAAGTCTATGTCACATGATGCAGTTGTCCCTTCATTTTCAAATGAACATTTTAGAGATTATCTCACTTCAGAATAACTCATTATTTCTTTGAAGTGTGTCATATCCACTGAATGTCATATAAAAAGTCCAGCCGGTCATCTATTCAAGTTTTTATTAAGCAATAAATGGCATAATTTAGAAAACAAGTACTGAATGGTTATCTGTTAATTTGAAAATACAGTATTACAAAGCCACAGGCAATGCCAAAGCTCAGCAGGGCACAGCTGGTACTTCATCACTTAAACCACACACACAAGAAATCCCCATGCTCATTATGGTTGTAAGAGGATGTTTTACTGGGAGGACAAGATATTGCACATTAAAAGGAAAGCGTCAGATGGACAAGCAGTTGTACGCAAGGAGAAAATTTAAGTCTAAACTGACATTTCAGCATCAGGTTTTGTTCCTTTCAGGTTTTCCAGACAGAAAGAACCTGCCCAATAAACAGAGAACTAAAAGCAAGCTGATCTGAATGTAGCTTACTTCACTCAGTTTACAGACATCCAAAGAAACAAAAGAAATTAATTCTCTTATTTTCCATATTTACTAATGGCATCAATTACTTAAGAAAAAAAGTAAAATCTTAAGATTCAGACCTCAAAAAGCCTAGTAATTATATTTTTGCTTTAATAGCTATTAAGAGTTGTATCTCTTAATAAAACTTCAGCTTAAAAGCTGGAGAAAATGTTCACGTAATGCAAGACAAAGTTTCACCTGCTTGTTTTTAACACCAGAAATTTATTTCCAGCTCATCCATTCACCCTCAACCCGCGGGCGCCAGGAGTTTATTAATTTTTAACTGCTTTATTTCCTCTTTCATGTTTCAAAGCATGAATTTTTGTAGGGATAAAGGCCTGTGTCTCATCCACAAAAGAAAGCAGCAATCTTTAAAAATACAAGACTAGGCATGCAGAGTAACACACAAATTACAATGGCCATGACCAGCTGTTCACTGGTTAAAAACTTCTCAGCTGTGCATACAAACCCCTCTGCTGGGTAAACAAAGCAAGTAAGTTTCTCTGTTAGACTGATTCCTTCGGTTTTGAAACAGATTCTGTCACCACTCTTCAGGGGCCACAGATCAGCCATTAGATCAAAACACACAAAACACCTAAAACACCTCATCTTAGACCATCTAGGCTTCTTCATGAGCCAGCAGGGATATTCATATAATTATTAGCTGGAAACTAAACTGGATTTAAATTAATTTCTGCCTTCCCCCC